GACCCGGTGTCACCGTGCGCTGCACGGCCGGGGCTCCGCGGGACGGAGCCCTTGGGGACGAGCAGGGGCTGGAGCCACCTCCTCCTCGCTGGGATTTGCTCATGCACATTATATAAATACATATATTATGTACATATATACACAAAATAAGTAAAATCTAGGGCTTTTTTTCCCGTTTAAGACGGAAAGCAGCTACCCATGCAATTAAACATCATGCTCAGATGACCCTTTTGCCATCGCAGGGCTTCTTACAAGAAACCCATATGGAAAATTGCTGGGGGCTTTTCTGGGGAACCCACATGGCAATCTCATGTTTTTGCCTTCTGCTTTATGAGGCAGTTGAAAATATGTGTGTGTATATATATATATATATATATATCTCCATGTGGGTATAGATATGTGTGATGGAGTAAGAGACAGCGGGAAGAAAACCCAAAGAAAAGAGGCAACCTAAAAGCATCAGCCACTAGAGGAGAGGAGGTGGGGGGAATGATGGCTTAATTACCATATTCAAATCTAATTAATTCTCCCTTTGCATAAAAAGGCCAGGCCGGGCGTGGGACCGGCGTCGCAGATGGTGTCTGGGGCTCGGCACCGTCCTGGGGCCGCCGGGCCCGTCCGGGGGCAGGGGATGGGGAAGGGGCAGGAGAAATGGGGATAAGGAACGAAACGGGGATAAAAGCTTTGTGGACCTAAGAAATAATGAGGAAAAAGGGGGAAAGGCCCCCGGAGCGGAGTGCGTCCCGGCTTACCCTGAGCGGGAGCATCGCGGTGGCATCGGGGACACCGTCCTGTGCTCCCTGTCCCTGCGTGTGGCTCCGACCTGGGCACTATCGGATCGTGACGCTGCCGGCAGGAGCCTCTTCCTCTGCTCCGGGGCTTTCCCAGCTCCTGCATCCCGGCACGCTGCTTCCCGGGAGCCGTGGCTGGAGAGGGCTGGGGGCTTCGCTCTGCAAAAGACTGAAATAAAAACAGAATCAGGAGGGTGTCGAGCGATGTCCTGCACCTGGGAAATGGAGCGGGGCGGAAGCCAGGGCTGCTCCCATAGGCCTGTTTTCCATAGGGGCTTTTTGCACATGGCAAGGGAACGTGGAGCTGGAATGAGGGACCGCAGCCCTGCTGTCCTTGCGGAGCAGGGAAGGGTCCGGTGGCCCTGGGCATCCGCGGAATCGCCGTGGCCACGTGGCCAGGGGCACCATGAGGACCGGGCGCTGCGGGGCCGACACGGCTCCATGAGGACGGGCTTTGGGGACAGCGGCTCTGCTGGCTCCCTCCTCGCTGCGGGTGCAGGCGCCACAGGGAGGGACTCCCTGCAGCGGGGCTGGCACCCTTGGGAATGGGATACCAGGGTGGGAATGCGAGCGGCCACGGGCTGCTGGCCAGGCAGCAGCCTCCTCCCATGTCTTGGCCTTTAATATCCCCCCAAATCCTGTTTTTGGGGGGTTACGGCACAATTTGGGCCACGAAGACTGGCAGAACCTTCCACCTGGGGCTGGCACCATGTGCGACCCACATCCCTTGGGACCCTTCGCGCCCTGCAGGAGCGAGTGTCTCCCTGCCACCCACAGGGACGAGGGGACCGGGGGTCAGGGGCCCAACGCAGTGCGATATCCAGTGTTTCTGCCCCCACCGGGTAACGGAGCCACTTTGTCGCCTGCGGCACCGTGGGGCTCCCTAGGGACGAGTGGCCGTGCCCAGCGCCGCGGGCCCCATGGGCACGGCGGCGGCTCCCATGTCCCCATTTCGCCAGGTCCTCATGTCACCGGGTCCCTGTGTCACCGGGTCCCCGCACATCCGGGTCCCTGTGTCACCCTGGAGCGACACCCCGGGGGAAATGAGCCCGACGTGGTCGTAAGCAGCAGCGTTCACCAGAACGGGGCTGTCACCAAGACCTCCCCGAGCGCCTGCAGCCCGAGCCAGCCTTGGGGTGGCCTGGGGGGGCCATCCCGCCGGGAATGCACTGCCCTGGGAGCAGCGCGGGGCGGGCACCGGGAAGGGGGCACGGGAAGCGCCCTTGGCCCTGGTGCTCCCCCAGCCCCGGGTCTGCGCCCGCATTGTGCCCTGCAGGCACCGGGAAGCTCCAGGAGCTGCTCAGGGCTTGCAAGGCGGCCGGGTTTGCAAGGCTTTTCCAGGGATTCCCAGGCCATTTTGTCCTGGACAACCCATGCCAACCTTCATCCCGCAGCCACACATGGGGGTCCCAGCCCCTCTGCAGAGCCCGGGTTTCATTTTCGGCACTTATTGCTAAGTGGGGCACGAGGCGGCGGCAGGTCCACGAGGCGCCGGGGACCGTCCCCACCTGGCCCTGGCGGCCAGGGGTGATTAAACGCGGGGCTCCCAGCTGCCATACATTTTTAAATAAATGAATAATACATCGCGGGGCGATAAATAAATAACGGCCGCACATTTGAACTTCGCCTCTGAGAAAATCCTTTTAGTTCAAAAGGAGCGGGGCGCGCGGCAAGGCGGGGGCCATGCATTTTGCATGGGCGGCCACCGTGTTGGGGCTGCAGAGGGACATGGTGCAAGGGGGGGACAAATGCAATGGCGGGGGGAACAAGGGTCCCCGATGCCACCAGAGGCGGCTCAACGGGTGGCAGTTGTGCCTGGAGCTGGTGGAGAATAGAGAGAATAAGGAAATGGGATGGGGTGGGATGGGAGCACCCAGGGCTGAGAGGAGCTTTGGAGGTGCCAGCTCGGAGACGGGGAGCCCAACACCCCCTTTTTCCAGCCACATGGCCCTGCTCTGGGGTCGGGGAGGAGGAGGATGGAGGAGGCCTGGGGAGGAAGGCGAGTGGCTCTGCAAAGATGCCCAGAAGTCATTAACAGGGCCAGGGCAGCTGCCACCGCCTGGTTGCCCATGTGCCACCACGCATGCACACATGTGCCACCACGCACAGGTGG